AAATTCAAAGAACCTATTGCAATAAAACGGCAATTTCATACTTTAACTCCTAATATTCCTTCAATAACTTCTTAATTATTAAATATGCCTCCCGGCCATTTGCTGTGCCTGACAGGATCCATAAATGCTCTGGATGATCTAAACCTGAGGTTCACTTTTTGTCTCGTAGACTACATGGCATTTTTTTCTGTTTTACGTAGACCAACTACCGTTCTAATAAGGACTTTTTTTAGAAATTTATTGCGTTCAAATGTGTTGAATTGCATACTTTGACAAGTTTAATTGTAGATACAATGAGAAACTTTACAAAAAAAAACACATGTTGAGTTTTGTACATTTATAATAACCGCATATCTTGTTTGTTGTGAAATGGTTGCTTCCTAGGTAATTTATATATCTACATATGTAGTATAGGTAGACTATGTTTATGGTCTAACTGCCAACATGCGTATTGCTTGGTTAGCAATTACATTCATATTTAAATATGATTTATTTTATTTTATTTTTAAGTCGGGACTTAATCACGTATAAAACACGTTTTATTTACATGTTTTATTTGTTAGTATTAAGTCCCGAATTAAAAATCAAATAATGTGTAAAAATCGTGAAAGTTCATGATTTATTTTGTCACTTATATTCTGGAGACCGAACAATAAACATTCTTTATAGCCCAACGTATTGCACTCTATCACCTACGTCTATCCTAATAATATGAGATCTATTATCAGAAAGCCTTATATTAGTACATAGATACTATCTATGTAATGTGAGAGTGAAAATCAAAATTTGGTCACGACCAGCTTAATTAATAATAATAATAATAATATTTATTGTTACAAAATAGTTACAACACAATAGTGAAGTCCCTGACACCTGAGCTAGGTATAACCTGTGTTACAGGAGTCAGTGTCCTCTCTCAAACATTTGACCTTACATTACCTATTTCTTAACAATTTTAATAGGTACATTATTAAATAAATTACATATTATATGTTTTACTCTGTGTGTGTGTGTGTGTGTGTGTGTGTGTGTGTGTGTGTGTGTGTGT